GGGGGGGCTGATAGTGGCGGACGAGGAAGCATCCATACATACGTCACTTCCATCCATAGGCTCTTTGTTGCCATCCATACACATGACTGTAGACGTGTACGTGTGGCTGTGTGGTTGTGTGGCTGTATGTCAGTGTGTGTCTCTGTGGATCCGTCCGTGTGTAAGGACAAGTATTTTCACACATATATGAAGCCAACGGTCACCCATCGTCATACACGCTTATCAAAGGACTCCTTCAACAAACAGTCGGTGGTATGACATTGTATAAGCTCCCTTATCCTCCTCAAACGCCGACCAACGCTGCGAACCACCATTGGCCGCTGGAAATCATTGTTCTTTCATTCTTCTCCATCTCTGCATCAGCTGCCGATCAGCTACAACCATCTTTATGGCTCAAACACCTTGCCGCCGATCCACTTTGCGAGCTTCGAAGAAAGGGGAAGAAAGAGGAAAGAGCAACTCGCGGCGGCGATGATAGAGGTGATATTGAATGACCGTTTGGGCAAGAAGATCCGCATCAAGTGCAACCCCGACGACACCATCGGCGACCTCAAGAAACTCGTCGCTGCACAAACAGGCAAGCCAGCACGGCAGCGCTACACACCGCCACAAAACGAACACAGCCAGACGCAGACAGACACACCGACGCACCGCATCCCCCACATCCACGACTTGGTGTGTGTTTGTGTTTCGTGATTGTGCGTGTGTCAGGTACACGTTGGGACAAGATCCGCATTCAGAAGTGGTACACCATCTACAAGGACCACATCACACTCGAGGACTACGAAATACACGACGGAATGGGACTCGAGCTCTACTACAACTGACCGCCGCACTCACCAGCCGCAAAGCCAGCCAATCGTAACCGAGCACCACCACGACAGGAGGGACGCTATTGATGCCGACGAGGAGGCCAGACAGACAGACAGACAGACAGACAGAGGAGGAGGAGGAGGCTCTGATGGGGCAGCACACATGGGTGCAGGCCTGTGTGTGTGCACGGGAGAGAGGAGAAGAGGGCATAGCCCTAGCTGGATGGATGGATGGATGAGAGCGGGGGCTGCGTGAGGTGAGGCGCTGCTTTGTCGATGGGGTGTGGGCAGGCAGACGGCGATCGGTGGGCCGGGGGGACTGTCAGTCAGTTGATTGATGATCATCATGTCATGTCGGTCGTGTGTATACTTGACCTGCTGACTTTCTTCGCGGACGCTCGGTGAAATCGACGTGTTGACGGGATGGGTGTGCTGCAGTGCACTCACATGGGGTGGCATGAGGTTATTTCGGTGTGTGGGTGCAATGTCATTACATACAGCTCGCTCAGCTGCCATGGGTAGTGTACACATTCACTTTGACAAACGTCCACCGGTCCGCCAGTCAGTCAGTCAGCCCACCGCTCCCTCACACACGTAGAAAAAGAGAGAGAGTCCTCGAAGGGGGCCGAGAAAAAAGACGACCGCCCCTTCTGTCCTCTCCAGACTGTACAATCCACACACACATAGAAAGAGAGAGAGAGGAGGAGAGAGAGAGAGACGAAAAAGAGCCCATCCCCCCGTCTGTATATCTGTCTGTCTGTGTGAGTCGTGTGGTGAGTGCCGCACACAACACACAGCGTGTCCCCCCCCATCCTTATCACTGTTCCTTATCACTTCCCTCCGCTGCTCCTTATCACTCTCGCTACTCCATCCATCCATCCTTATCACTTGTCTGTCCACCGCCCCTCCCTCCGTGGCTCCTTGTCTCTCTCGCTACTCCATCCATCCATCCTCATGATATCACTCTGCCTGTCTGTCCACGACTGGCTCGACAGGCACCGTGACGACACAGACGACTGGCTCCGAGGAGAGAGAGAGGGAGAAAAATAGACGAGACAGAGAGAGCAAGCCCTTTGTCGGCAGGACCAACCACACGCACACAGACAGAGAGGGAGAGACGATCTGTCCACCACCACCACCACCACCCCACCCCCTTCCTCCCCATCCTTATCACTGTGTCCACCGCCGCGCTACTCCATCCATCCCTCCCTCCTTGTCATCTTTCTCTGTCTGACTGTCCACCGCTGACCCCCACCACACTCCTTCGACTGGCTAGGATATATCATTCTCTCTGCAACCGTCTGCTCGGCAACCAACCAACTCTACTGGTCTACGGCCCATCCACACCACCGACCCACTGACGGACGCACACATCAGGCACTTGTGGACAGGCGGCTGAGCTGGATCTTCTTGATGTAGCTGATTGCGAGTGCCTCCCTCTCGGCAGCCAGGGCAGCGTAGTAGTAGTGCTCTGATGACTTCTCGGGGCGGCCTGCGGTCTTCTCGCCTTCCCAGAGAGCGTACGCCCCCAACAGCACCCTGCACAGACAGACAGGGGAGACACACACAGAGACACAGACACACATGGATGTGGGGGTGCCTCGTGTGTGTGTAGGCCAAAGAAAGACTGACTGCAGCCCACTTACATCGAGTCGAAGCGCTCGCGGCTGAGGCCCGCCTCGATGATGAGGCGGTCCTCCTCCGCAGGGACGCTCCGCTCGTAGTGCTGCTGGGGCGACTCGTGACGGCCCTCCGGCGACAGGGAACGCTCAAACGCAGCCTTCTTGACGCTGCATGACAAGGCAGACAGACAGACAGACAGGGGAGACACACACACATGCATAGAAGGTGTCTTTGATGGTGTCTCAGTGAGGTGTGCGTGTTGGCTTACTAGGCGTTGAAGGCGTCCTTGGGAGACGGGAAGCACTGGTCGGGGTGGTGCTTGTAGCCGGAGGGGGCTGACTCTGTCTCCCACACGTCGCCCTCACTATCCTCACTGCTATCCTCACTCTCCCAACCCTCCGACACTTCGCTGTCGCTCTCCTCACTCTCCCAACCCTCCGACACGTCGCTGTCGCTTTCCCCACTGCTAAACTCACTCTCCTCACTCTCTGACACTTCGCTGTCACTCTCCTGACTCTCCCAACCCTCCGACATGTCGCTGTCACTATCCTCGCTCTCCCCTCCCCCCTCCCCTCTGTGCTCACCAACCCTGACTACGGCCTCCCGACCCTCGTCACGGCCCTCGTTGGCAGGCTGGCTGTCCTGCACGGTGGGCGCGACGGTTCCGGCGGTGGCACTGCTGCCCTCGCTCGCTGTGGCAGGCGGGCGGTTGTTGGGGGGGTGGGAGTTGTGTGTGGGTGGGTTGTTGGCCTCCTCCGCCGGGGCTGTCGGGTGGGGGTTGGGCTGGTTGGGCTGCTGGTTGGGGCTGTCGGGTGTGTTGGCGGCCTGTGTGGCTAACGTCGCGTCTCGCCTGACCTGGCTACCCCTCACAAAGGCCTCAAGGAAAGGCGAAGTGAGGGTGGTCATGACCTGAGTCGTGCCGTGGGTGTTGAGGTTGGTGCCGTCGGTGTTGGCGTTGGTGCCGTCGGCCGACGTGCTATCATTCTCTGCATCCATCCATCAATCAGGCCACACACACCATATCAACACAACACCAAGGCATATGACCCGTGACCAACTGAGACAGCAAGTAGTGTGTGGCTGGCTGACTTACCGTAGTCCAGTCCGAAGAGGGTGTGGGCGGCAAAGTCCGTGTGCGTTGGTATCAGACGCGTGATGCCGTTGCCGACCCTGTCGGCCAGGTCGAGCATCGGGGCTATGGACTGCATTGTGGCCAACCAGCTGACGATTTATCAATCTCGCGTGTCAGCGGTGGCCTCTCCTCCTTGGTCGTCTCCTTGGCGTCAGTCACTCGCTGCACTGCCGACTTATCTCTTGGCGGCGGGCAGGCAGGCTGTTGCGTTGCGAAATGGTGCTCACAGACGTGTTGGTATCGTGTGCACGGCTGTGTGGGCTGGACGGCGGTGGACAGAGAGCGTTCTTGGCGGCTGTGGCGAGGGCGGGGGAAAAGCGAAAGCGCACAGCTTCTTTTTTGCCGTCTCCGTCTCAAATTCTCGCCAAAATGGAAATTTACTTCCTGGCAAGCAATGCTGCTGCCCGTCATGGCAGCTCTTGTCTGAGGTAGCTTCCATCTGAGCCGACATGCGCACAGCCTCCGGCACACTGGCGGCCCATTCACTATCAGTGAAGAAAACCCAGGCACCACACATTGCGAAGAAGGGAGACAGAGAAGAGGGGGACGGAAATAGAGAGGAGATGCCCATCTGAACCGACAAAGGTGGAGATCTGCCCACTTAACTGCAATCATGCTTCACTCACTCTGCTGATCTCTTTCTCTTGCAGCCAGCGGTACACATCTGCAAAAGGACCGGCCATCCATCGAATGCACAGGGCACCACGCACAGCTGCACTGCACGTGTATCGATCGAGGGACGCGGGCAGGCAGGCAGGCAGGCACATTGAACACCCCCATCGTTCATTCATTCATGTCCGTGCCAGAGTCAACGAATGGTACCCCCACAGCAGTAGGCACCCTCTCGTCCGTGTGTGGACGGATGCATGGATGGATGGATGGATGGCGCCCGTCGATCACTTTTTGTTTCTGTGCCGCTTCTGCCACCGGTTGGAGTTGGGATTGCCGCGACCGAAACCCACCTACTCACATACACACACACACACACACGTGCACAGATAGCCGCCCCGCTTGTGCCACATGTGGCTCCCTGTTTGTCTCCCATGCGTCCCTCCCTCCCTACCTGCACCGTGGGTCCACCCGACACGGCCAGCTTGCCCGAAGGCAGTGTGGTCCGCTTCCACCAACCTCGCTGCTCGTATGCGATGTCCTGACAACCATATCAACACGGCGTGAGAGACAGGGTGGTTGTTGGCTGTGCGCGCACGCGCACCTCATTGAAAGGGTTTCTTGCCGCCTTTTCCTTCTGCTGTATCTTCATCTGTCGCCGCATGAGCCGGTCGCGGCCGCCGATCATCATCTCGTCCTCGGCAAATATTATCGTGTGCTGCGTGATACAATGAACAGAGAATACAACGGATACACATGTACATGTGGCTCTCTCCCTCCCTCCGTGTCTCCCCCTCTCTCGGGCTCAGATGACCCACCTGCTGCCTGCCCCCTTTTGGTTTGGGTATGTCGAATATGGTGCCCTTAAGGTTGTTGCGCTTCCGGTTGTCGTGGATCGACACCTCGCCCTCATCGTTGACTGTGATGGGCACCTGCAGGCATGGCCATCCCATACACCCACAACACAAAGACACACCAACGCCAGTCGTCCTTTCGTCATTTGTTGTGTCCTTAGCTCTGTCTGTCTGCCGTCGCTTACCCGCTGCACCGTGTTGTTGCCGCACTTGGGACAGAACCGGCGATTCGTGTCCCGTGTGAACTCATAACATGCCCTGGGAGTTGGCGACACACGCAAGACACACGACATAGCCATGGCAGTGACACGCATCGCATCGCATCCAATGTGCGCATGCCATGCATCCCTCCCCCAGTTGCTGACCTGCAAATGAGTCCCCAGAGCTTGACGTTTCTGACGACATAGCCGTCGATGGTGAGGATGTGCAGCCCCATCTGCAGCAACACGTTCTGCATCGAGTAGTCGGTCGTCACGCACGCCACGCGCACAGCTGAATCCGGCTTGACGGCCATGCCAAACCTGTTCAAACAGAACAAACAGAGCAAAAGACAGCTCGGGTGGTGTGGAGAGACCCTTGTGTGGTCTCTGTCTGTCTGTCTGTCTGTCTTGTCTGCTTACCGGTGGATGTTGTCAGATGTGACCCACTCCCCCTCCTCGTCGTTGTCGTCGTCAGTGTCCCCCTCCTCGCACTCATCGCCGGCCGCTTCCTCTGTCGGAAGGTCGTCGGCTTCGTCATGCTCTCCGCCCTCACCATAGCACGCGGCATCGTCATCACGATCACCATCTCCCTCTGCCGCCGCATGCCCATCTTGTATGTGTCCGCTCTCTGCGTCCATCCCGTCCGTCGGCTCGATGCTGTTCACCTGTTGCTCGGCCGGAGCTCTCGGCTCACTGTCCAGCTCTTTGCCTGCCCCATCCACCACTCGTGAGGAGCTGTCGGCTTGTCCAGTGTCGGCTGGCTTCGGCGGGTTCCAGTGAAAGGCCGCCTGGCGGCTGTCGAAGGTCAGTGGCTTGGGTTTGCTGCGGAGCAATGAGATGTCGCCGGTTTCCCGCTGCAGCATGAGGGTCAGAGCGATCACCTGGATGTCCGTCGACGACAGATATGGAAAGTCGCCTGCACACACACACACACAGACCACGGTCACAACCAACACGAGAAGGAAGAGCACTCAATTCTCCATCCGTCCATCCGTCCGTGCGCGCCCTGTCCGTCCCTTGTCTGTCTGTGTGCTGCGTGCAGCCCACCTGTGAGCGATGCGAAGTATCTGACGAACTTGACGTCGGCTTCAGTGGGTTGTCGGGTGACGATGGGCTCCGTCATGGTGTCGAGGTGCATCCTCGCCTGCGGGTCCTTGACCTCATTCATCACTGCTGCCGTGGTGTAGAGCTGTCCTCCTGCCTTCTCCACTCGCTTCAGCCGGATCAAGGCGCCTGTGTCCAGAACCACTTGGCGGGTCACTGGCGGAGATGCCATTGCGCTGGCACCTGGATCTACGGATTCTTTCTTTCCCTTTTCCCTTCTTCGTCTGCGAGCTTAGCTGCGAGCTTGAAGTGGCGCGCGAAACCTTGGGGAGGACGGTTGTGCTGCCAGATCTGATCTCCTGCGCGCCAGCGTGTTTTGTCGAGCACTCTTCTTGATGATGAGGTCTGCCTTGCTAGTGCTGCTGGTGGTGTTTATCGGGATCTGGGTGCACCCATCCGCAGCACAATGACGAAAGCAGCTGCGCATTCCGAAGGTGAGAAAGGCGACTGAGCTCAGCAAGCAGCTGATGTGCAGACATTCATAATCTGTCGTGTCCCTTCCGTGTGAGTGCAGCCGACGGGTAGAGACGACCGTCTAGGTCTTCTCCTCGGAGCGGCTGAGGACTGCGCAGCGCACATCCGCCGCCACCCCCTCAGGTCACTCGCTATCGCATCCGCCATTGGGGGCGGCATCTACCTCGCCAAAACCACACCCGTGACTGGCCTGCTGCTCTCGTCGGAGCATCACTACAGCCTCCTGCCGCCCTCTGGCAGATACATAGAGTCCTTCTTGACCAAGGAAGCCAGCAGCAACCGGAGGAAGGGCCGGCTTCCATCCCGCTCGGCCATGTCAGAGACGACCACCATCGAGATGGGCGAGGGGGAGGACATGTACCGCCGTGCCACCAGCCTGCTGGAGCGCGGCAACATTCAGCTGTCCCTTTCTGGCATGCGGGGGCAGTTGATCCTGCACAGGGCGGCCAGCAGCAGCAACCACTTGGTGCTGGCTGTGCTGCGACGGAAGGGTTTGGTGTGGCACCTGGACTCATTTATCGAGGGGGGTCGTGTCAAGGACAAGGCGGTCAGGGGCGGCAAGATGACAGGGGTGGGGTTTGTGAGCAACGACGGGGGGGCGGAGCTCGTGGTCAGGGTCAAGTTGATGGGCGACGGGACGGCCGGGGCGACCGGCGGCATTCCCAACGTCAATGTGACCTACGGTGGGGCGACAAACGTGGCCAGAGAGGGCACAGTGGTGCTCGAGGTGGTCGGCAGGAGCTCAGTCAAAAGGTCAGAGTGCCAGCAGAGGAGGGAGGCACACATAGAAATGCGCATGTAGGTGTGTATCCATCTGATGCGTGGTGCGGTGCCTGTGTGTGTCTGTGCAGTCGCGTGTCAGCAGATTTGGTGGAGGAGGTGGCCGTCACATTGGCCAGCAAGGTTGCTTCGGACGTCAAAATGCAGAAGACCCGCCAGATGCAGCTGTCCAAACAGCAGGAGGCTCTCGCACGGCTACAGAATGAGCGTGAGAAGCAACAGCAACTCACGTAAGGGCACTCACAGCTCACACCCATCCCATCCCCAACACATACAGACATCCACACCACGCTTGCTTCATGTGTGCGTGTTCAGTGCGGCTGAGCGCCAAGAGATCCGGCGGCGTGCCCGTCTGAGTCGCTCGTCTGTCCGGTCATCGGCCACGGCGAGTGGCGGCGGTACGAGGCGCGGTCCGTCGAGTGTGGTGAAGCAGTGAGGCTAGCCCCGCCCTGGGGATGAGCGCCATTATGGCCTCACACAGGGTGGGTGACCCACTCGCTGACTGAGCTGCTTGTGCATGGAAATGACCTGTGCCTGCGTCGGTGCATTGCTGGCTGGGGTGGGTGCCTGATGGTGTCGTCAAATGGCCGTAGGAGACCAGGGGGCCGTGGCAGACGATCTTGCCGTGGCAACTAGGTCTCCAGGGGGCGATTGGCCAACCACGGGCACTCACGCCGTGCAGAGTGATGCTGGGTATGTCTCGTCTGGGTAATGGAGCGGTTCATTCAGCGGCCGTGGCTGGCATGCATGGCATTCATGCGTGAAGGGGGATGGCGGGATAACGAGTGATGCTGTCTCGCCGAACGGCTCTCAGAGCAAGGTGGATGGCTGAGGGTTGGTTGTCTCGCTTTCCCTCGTCGCGTCACGTCCACAAGGCTGGCCATGTGCCTGCCTTGCTGTCGTGTGTGCTGTGTCCGGGGGGGTGGGGGGCTGTTGATTGATGGCTGGATTGCTGACATGATTTTTGGTGTGCTGGTTGGGGGAAGGGCAGCGAGAAGAGCTGTACAGAGACACACACACGATTGCGTGAATGGATATGGACGGATTGATGTGAGTTCTGTCTGTGTCCATTCTTGATGCTTCCCGTCCCTTACTACTGTCCGTGCCATCCGTTCAAGGCTGGCAGCCACGCAGCCGTGAATGAGTGGTGCTGGCAGCAGAGACGGTCGGGAAGTGTCAACGAACACGGACAAGGGTGCAGCCAGCCACGAGCAGGCATCATCGTGTGTTTGTCATCGCGCGAATGATCCTTGCCCATGAAAGCTCTACGTGAGATTTGGGTGGGGAGAGAGGCAGCGGACAGACACAAAGATAGATAGGCGCTGTGCTGTGTGGCTGTGGTGGCAGCGATGCCATTCATTGTGCTGGCTCGTTAACACAATCGTGATTGACTGGTTTCAACATCCCATCCTGGTGTTGTGCTGTGGTTGAAAAACGTGTCACGTTTCTGCAGAGCATTCGTGTCTGTCTCCTTCCGTAAACATCCGTCAGGCACTTCACAAGGAAAGCGCACACACACGCATGCACATGCATCGGGAGCACCCATCCCGCCATTAGTGGTGGCCTCCCAGTGTTGTTCTCATCCCACAGCCTTGGTGTGGTGACTTACAAAGCGTGTGGCTACTCAGTCATCACTCATGGGCGTCAGGGCAGTCGCGAACGGTTCGCAAATCAGCTTCCTTTCCTCTGCTGTCCGTCTGTCCACTTACTTATCTGTCTGTCCTTCAGTACCTGCCGCTACAGCAGCTATGCATGTCAGTCAGTAAGTTTGGTACACCTACATAACTACCTCCCTCCCTCCCTCGCTCTGTATGTAACCTACAAAGTGACGCTAGCTAAGCACTTACACACCCCTCCCTCCCCCTTGCTGCTGTGTCTGTCACCCCTCCCCACCCCCGTCCCCGTCAGGTTCCCTTTGTGGCGTCATCGAGGTACTTGGAGGCCCTCCCCAGCGCGTCGCAGACGCCAGCGAAGGTTTTCTCGGCGATGGAACTGTAGGCCACTTTGTCCTCGCCCGAAGCCGTCCGGTAGCGGACGATGAAGGCCCTGAGGTCCACCCGCCACTCGATGGGGTGCTGGATGCGCGCCGATATCTTGTCCTTGTTAGTCAGGTTGGCCACACTCAGCATCATCTGCGCTACGTGGCTCACACCTGCATCGTCCAGCTCGCGATTGGGGTTGGTCTCCGCCGACCCGCCCGGCAGCATCCCAGACAAAGCCGCAGCGGCGTCAAGACCTGAAGGAAGCATTGACAGGAACCGATTCGATCGACAGCAGATGACAGCACAGCAGTCATGTGTGTGTGTGTGTGTGTGTGTGCCTTTCTCACTCTCACCGTGTATGTTGGGCTGTCCGTTTGGCAGCAGACCTCTCTCGCCATCGTCCACCATGCCGTTGGCATCCCCAGCCAAAGCAGCACCCATCGGACCCTGTCGATGCATCCCACCGCCGAATGTCGGGCCACCCCCACCGCCAGCCGCTGCTGTTGTTGCTGCCGCTGCTGCTGCCGCTGCTGGTGGTGGTGCCGCTGGTTCGGCAGCCGCATGGCCATCTGCTGTTTGTGAGGGGAGAGGGAGGTGGGGCGGATGGGGCCGGGGGGAAAAGGGGCGTGCTGCAGTGTTGAGGGCGGCGGACGGCGGTGTGTCGAGCCTGGCGGCCATGACGCACTCCATGACTGCTGACGTGACACCATCGACCTCTGCCGACGGGTCAGAGTGGACCATGGCCTCCCGGCCGATGCCCTCGAGCTCATCCAGCTGTGTGTCGCGGAAGGCCGCGGCGGCGTTGAGGGCTCTCTGGACGGCCTGGACGGTCTTGTATGCGACTCTGAAGAGCCGGCGTTGGGGCGAGGGGTGGATGGCCACCCACACACGGAAGTGGCCCCACAGGCGGCTGGGCGTCCCTCCCTCCCACTCGATGAAGGTGTACTTGCCGCGCCACAGCTGGTCCACGGGATGGCTGCCCGGCTGCTGCTGCTGCTGCCGATGGGTGTGGTGGTGCATGTCCTGTGCCCTGAGCCGGTCCAGCAGTGTGTGGGCGATGTGCGTGATGGCCGCCTGTGAGCCCGCCACGGTCGTGAGGTCATAGCCCGCCACCGAATGGTCCAGACTCATGTCGGACGCATCCACCGACACACCTGAACACGACATCAGACATCATAAGATGACACGAGACGCATTCATCACCATCACCTAATCGATGTGTCTGTCTGTTCGTTTCTGTATGTATGTGTGTGCGTCTGTCCGACTGACTCACTTGGCCTTGCAGCGCCGTCTTCTGTGGGCCCGTGTGGTGTGCGGCTCCTCTTGCTGCCCACCCCACCTGCCTGTCGCCTCATGTCGGCCTCCCTTTGCCGCATCATAGCGTGCAGCCGCGCCACCCCATCGGCGTTGAACCGCCTCTTGAGGGCCGCCATGCACTGCTGACCGCCCTGGTGCTGGCACCCACGCACCTCGTCGAGCGCGTCACTGGCCGTCTGGAGGGTGAAGAGCGGCATGAGGCAGTTGCGGACGTCGACCGCGGCCTCGAATGCGCTCATGACGGATGCGTGTGTGGCGGTGAGGGGCACTTTGAAGCAGAATGGGGCGCGGAATACGTGTGAGATGGACTCGTGAGTGAAGGTGAGGTCGGATGGCAGCAGCAGCATGAAGGCCGTGACCGACTGGGAGTCCTGGTCGATCTCCCCGGTGTTGATCCATGAGTCGGGGTACTTGATGCGCAGCTGGCTGTCGTACATCTGCAGGTCGCCCATGATCTCACGGGCAAAGTCCAGCGTCTCGGCGGGCGACAGGGCTGAACGAAACAGACAGACAAGCACGAGAAAGCATCAATCTCACGTCGATTGATTTGATGCCTTCCTTTGTTTGTCTTGTCTCTGTCTGTCAACTGACCTTGTGCGCCTTTGCGTGTGAGATGCCTCCTGCACTGGTCGGCCCGGTGCCGGTTGGTGGCTTCGACGGTGTCCATGGCGGCCTGGACACATATCCGCACCTGCTCGGCCTCCTCGGCAATAGTCGACATGGCCATCTGCACCATGCCCTGACCGTCGACCGCCACCCGATACCTCGCCCTCACGGCAGCCATGGCACCCTCAGCACGCTTCTTGTGCTTGGCCAGCCACGCCACCATGGCCACACGCAGCGCCGCCAGAAGGCTCTCGAGTGTGCTGTCTCGCGGGGGGAATGTCTGTGCGGTGATTTCGTCTCGGAAGTGTCTGGGGGCGGGGTCCCATGTGATGAAGCCGCCCAGGGGGCCGGCGGCCGACAGCTGGTTTAAGAGGGCCGACAGCAGCTGGACGGCGTAGTGCTGCTGCTCCCGCGTGCTCAGCACCGACGACTTGTCGATGAAGGTGAAATACTCTGCGGTGCAGACAGAAACAATACAAACAGCGGAGGATTCACACAACACACAGCTGCCTGGAGGGATGGATTCTCGCTCACCTTTGGGTCTGGCATCTTGCTGTTCGTCCTTCTGTGCCCCGCTGCTGTCCTGCCTCCGACTCGTCAGCGCCCGAGCGGCCTCCCTGTTCCAGCAGTCGACAGCCGACTGCAGCGCCCTCGCCAAGCACCTCACCGTGCCGCACTTGACGGCCAAGTGGTGCCGCTTCTTGCGGATGGTGCTCTGGGGATTGAGGGAAGTCACGACGCGGAAGTAGTTGCCCTCCGCCTGCCATGAGATGCCCGCGGCCTCCTGCTGGTCGGGATGGGGCTCGTCCCTTGACGACTGGGGGCTGTCGCCGTCGGCCGCGGGGATGGGGCTGGGGCTGCTGCGTGATCCCCCGCCCTGTTCACGCCTCGTCTGACACACACAGACGGACAGACGCGAGAAGTGTGTGTCCATCCATCCATGAATCGAAGGGGGTATGGTATGCTCACTTACCGTCGTGTCTGCAGGGGCGCCGAGCCCTGGGTGTTTGACGAGGACGTCGCCCTCCCCAAGCCGCTCCAGCGCTTTCTTGGCGATGGCCGCCATCTCCTGGCCATCCCCTATCCACGTCTTGACCGCCTGACGGCCGCCGTCGACATGGTCAAACACCCCGAGCAGCATCAGGGTGTTGCCGAAGAACCGCCCCTCATCGGCCACACACCGATCCAGCTCGCTCCGTGCGTCCTCGAGCACCTCGGTGAGGACACTGCTGATATTGTCGTTGGATATGTCGCGGCCCCGCCAGCCGAGCTGCTCGAAGAGGGCGTTGCGCATCTGGGTGGCCTCGTAGAGGGTCGTCAGCACCGTCTCCACCTGCTGCTGGGAGAGCGATCGGAGGCCAGGCATCGTGTGGGAGTGACCGCTCGTCTGGACTCGGAAGCGGCCCACGTCGCCCGCCCAGTGGATGGACAGCTCGCGCCTTCCGGCCTCCCACTCTTGCCTGGGTAGGCCGTTGGCCGTGTCGCCATTGCCCGATGCAGGGGCAGCAGCCGCTGCTGCAGCCGCTGCTGACGGTGGTGGTGGTGGTGCAAGTGCCGTGTCGTTGTCGATGTCGATATCCACGGCCACGTCGGGGGTGTCCTGCTGTTCGTCATCAGTGTCCATTTCCTCCTCGTGCATCGTCTTGAGCCGATCGACGACCATCCGGCCAAGGGCATCCAGCTGAGAGAGGTCCAGAGGGCGGCTGGAGGGGGGCACCGCGGCCACACCTGACCATCACGACAAAGCACAAAGTAGCAAACCATCCACCCGTACAAGTGCGCGCGACATGCCCAGTGGCTCGAATCGTACCCTCGGTTGTGCATGCGGCGTTTGCGAGTCCTCCCTCGGCTCTCAGCCCCAGCCGGTCGCGCACCGTCAGCTCCTCCACACGCAGCCGATCGCGGAACACAAACGCCGCACTCACCGCCTGCTGCAGTGTCGCCGGCGAGAGGTACTGCACCGACAGCTCATAGCACTCCTGCTGCCTGGCCGCCTCCCCAAAGCGCCAGGCAAGCGGCATGAACTCCCACAGCTCGCTCTCCACCCGCACGTGCGGATCTCTGGCGATCCGCAGGACCACCCCGCCCCTCCCTGCTTCAGGGGACCTGACCGAGATCTCACGGTGCCTGCCGTGGGCGACCCACACTGTGCGGCGGTTCTCCGCCCGCCTCGCACGCAGCAGCTTCTTGATGTACACACGCGCCGAGTCGATGGAGACGATGCCGTCTGAGTGCGTCACAGCCTGGTAGTAGCCGGCTGATTGCGAGGGGGGAAAGGGCAAGGGAGCGGCTCCCGCACGGACACTGGTGGATGTGGGACCTGCCGTGATGGCGTCACGCGCGGATGACGATGCAACATCAATCTCGTCCAGGCCGTTCGGAGGCGTGGCGCTCCGGCCACTCATGTGCCGCTTGGACGGTCGGGTGCCATCCGCTGCTGGAGGCTGCACTCGAGGGAATGGATGCCGCGGGGGTGCTTGGCGGTTAGAATGAGTCGGGCCTGGGAACATGATGTCACTCAACCGAACCCCGCACTCGTTGATTGACGCCCAGATCTTCACAAATGGATCACGACATCCACATCACAGCCACGATGAGGCCATGTGAGGGAAGCGGCAATCCCACGACCTGGCATTAGCGGCTTCACGGAAGACCCTGTGCAGTCCGCGTTGGTTGCGGCGTCAGACGTGTGGAAGAAACTAAACGTACGTATCCAAATGTACGTATGTCTTATCATCCATCGTACGTAAGGCTGCCTCTGACTTTATACACAGCGACTGTCTCATCCAATCCACACACACAAGACATCCACAGCCCCTAACACACCCACCCTACCCATCTGATCTGCCGTGTTCTTCTGTGGATACACTCACGAGTGCAGCCCCTTGGTGACGTACGGTGGCAGATAAAGCGATGTCTGCACCTCAGCCGCGCGGACAGCACTGCACGCCCCCGACATGACCAAGTCCCTAACACACACACACACGCAGCTGTACCCACGGCGGTGGTGACTTTGCCTTGGTCTCCCTCATACACACCTGAATAGGTCTCTTCCCGGCGGCTTTGGTTTCTCCTCGTCGTAGAGCCAGATGAAGAAGTCGGTGATTTCCTGCTGCGTGAGTCCGATTTCCTCCCATGACCTTTGCCGCATCAGCCGCTCCTCCAGACGACGCAACACAAACGGCCAGCGCGACCGCTGCACAAACGCTGCCAACTGCACACATGAATGAATGCAACAAGGAAGGATCGACGATGTGATGGCGTCAGTGGGCTGTCTGCCTGTACAGGTGTGTCTTACATGCGCCTCGGCGAGTGCGAAGTTGGGGTGATGCCCCTGTGCATAGAACTGCACCAGGTCATCAAACGACCTGACCACTGGGCCCTCCAGAGCGCCCGCATCAGCAGTGTCCACCACTAGCCGCGGCACGGGCCATGGCTGCATGAGGTCCCACACGTTGAGCATCTCCCTCAGCAGCACCGACGCCAGCAAGACGCTGTTCTCGATGATGGGGTTGAGGGTCATGAAGGGGTACTGCACCTCCATTATCGACCCCTGCGTAGACGACAGACACACCAGCTTGGTCTTGTTGCTCCACAGCATGGGGATGGCCGGGGTAGAGTTGTCGAAGCACAGCTGGTTGTAGAGCTCAAACAGGCGCTGGGCGGCGCTCTCCTGCTGTGCGCGGCTTAGGAAGGGCGGCAAGGGCGGGAAGGGCGGCGACACACGGTCCTTCAGCGCCTCCAGCTGCCTCTCAGGTGCCGAAGCGCCGCCCCTCGCTGCATCGCCAGTGAACAGCACCCCATGAAGCAGATCGAAGGCTCGGGCGCAGTCCCTCTCGATTTGCCGATGGTCCGCTTCTGACGTCTTGAGCCATGCATTCTGGAAGAACGACACCGTGGAGCGGCACAGACTGTTCTCCATGATCCGCTGCAGCGACGGATCTTCGTTGCGGAGGATCTGGCGGCACTCTCGCAGGGCATCTTCCGCATCTCGCTGCCGTCGCAAGACGACGCTCTGATGGAACTCCCGCAGCGGCAGCACCTTGGTGCCGGGGGGTGGGAAGCCTTCAAAAGCTGCATGACGACGGTAGCAGGGCTGTCCTGCTGACTGGGCTGGCTGAAGGGCGACGGCGATGAATAGCAACGACGCCAGAGAGAGTGCTGGCCTTCTCGAGCCTGCCATCTTTGCATGTATTCGTTCTTCCCGTCACTTCATCTTTGGCTCCGAAACCCTGGTGGAAAAGAAGCTGAGGGATCTGCCGCCCTCTGGTCCGTAGCTCGCGAAACCTTCAGCCGGCTGTCAGGGTTTGGGTTGCAGGGTTTGAAGGAGGAAAGTTGAACAGGAAGGCAGGGAGCAGGCCAAGGCGCAGAAGAAGCGGTGTTTATGCTGGCTTACCGATAATCGGGGGGTGAGCCATTCATCCCACAGCTTCGCCACCCGGGCATTCGCAGAGGGCGTGTGAGGCCGCTGAGGCGTGGAGAGCAACTGGTGGAGAGAACGCTTGAGGCTGTCGGAGGCGGTGATGCGCTCTACTGGCAAATGGAATGTGATTCTACAGCTGTAGGTACGCAACGCTTGGAAATCCTGGCGCGAGTCCTGCGTATGGAATGCTGCTCGTGTGCATGTCGGTTGGTTTGTCTCATCATCAGGTTGTTTGCCATCATCCTTGCTCTCTGGTCCCACCACAATGGACGAGGACGATGAGATGGGCGGCGGCAGCAGCCCTCGACGCCGCGGCATCAAGCGCCTCTGCCACGACCTGCCGCAGGAGTTCAACAAGAAGGTCCGCATCGGCAGCCCACACCCATCCCCGCCACCCTCACTGCCGCCCATCGACGAGGACGTCGCCATGAGAGGCGCTGGCTCTTCACAGCGAGACGGCGTGTTGGCAGCGGCTGCTCCTGCGGACCACACACACGGTGCCCATGACATGACCAATGGAGTACCTCAGCAACCCCAGCAGACAGCAGAGGGACGACCAATCGCACCCGCGAGCCAGCGAAATGATCTCCTTGCACCTCTCCCACCCCACCACCACCACCAGCAGCAGACGAGCGAGCCGTCCGACGAGCAGCGTGGCATCGTGTTGGGCCGCGGGATGCCGCCTGGCTCCTTCTACCAGTACGTGAATCGTGACCTGGGGCAGCTGCATGCGGAGCGGTCGCATCGGCAGACTCATCATCGGCCGATGATGCACCGGTCTGGCTCAGCGCCGGGCGGCCTGCGGTCATCTGGGGGTATGGGTATGGGTGGGGCGGGGGATCAGGGTGAGGGTCAGGGTGACATGTCGTATGGCGAGGTCAACAGGATGATACGAGACCTGCACTTCGGGGGCAGGTAGAATGACGTGAGTGACGAAGAGGGGACCAGACGGGTCGCCAGCTGGTGCGGGCTGCGATGCTCTGTAAAGTACGTGAGGCGGGGTGGCCTGTGACCTGCGATGGATGCATGACTCTTTATTTCAGTGTGTCATGTAAGATCTGCGGGAAAAGAACGAAATGGTCTCGTGTGGCCCTCGGCCAGGATCAGGGGAACGTCCAGCTGCGTGATGTGACACACCTGATGTCACGTTACACACAAACACACACGCGGGCACTGGACCTCGTTCAGCCTACACACAGACCTTCGTATCCCTCATACATACCCGTTTGCATTCTTTGCGTAGCTGGTGCGTCCTGAACCTCTCCATTGATTGTGGCTCACGGCGATGGACGGATTGCCGGTACGATGAGCCGAGCAGAGAACGGACCTGACAGCGAAGCGAAAGGCGGGAGAGCGGAAGATCTTGTGCTGCGAGCTTGTGCGAGCTGAGAATGCAGATCTGACCCGTGAGTGTTGAAGGGCATGTGGTCCCTTTGCTGAGTCGTACCTGCGTTGCCCATTGTGCCACCGAGCTAGCGAAGGATGAGCGACAAGTGGACGGAGAAGGAGCGGCTGGCCTTCAGCCAATGGCTGCATCGCACCTACCTCCCCACCGTCGTGGTCATCGCAACGGAGCAGGCGCAGCGGACGATGCGGGCCAACAACGACCTTTCCCTGGCGGACCTCTTCCAGCCCTTCGGCCAGTCGGATGCCCGTGCGCCCGACGTGCAGTACCGAGTGCTGGAGCGGCCCATGCGGACAGAGGCCTTCCGGGTCAAATTTGTCGATGTGGAGGATGCAGTGCAGCCGAGGGCAGAGTGTGCCTTCCACGGCCTCAAGGAACTCGTCGAACCCACGTGGCCGCAGACATTCGGGGAGGTGAGTAGGTCATCTAGATGACTTGACAGACAGACAGACTGACACCCACTGCACTGCCACACAGGCACACCACAGACACATGAGATGGATGGTATCTATGTGATGTGTGTATATGATGCCATCGATGTGTTGTGTTCGTTCAGAACGACTCTTGCCCGCCGTGTCCGTGGTTTGAGCGTTGGTCAGAGAACCTCTTCCGCACCCTCCACTGGTCCGACCACGAGTGTCTCGACCAGCCCGTCGGGGCGGTGCTGGTTGTCTCCTCCCAAGACCCCGACCCCGTCAGCCTCTTCGAGCAGCTCATGCACCCCTCCTATATGCCCGAGGCCTGCAGGGCCAACCTTCTCGACCCATCACCCTCACGCACCTATGTCCTGCTCCACGACGCGACTGCCGCGTCGGCCACGAGCGAGGGGGAGGTGGAGCGGGAGGTCCATCGCATGCGGCACACCTTCCCGCCGGCCTCCTGCCATTTGCTGCGGGTCAATCGCAACCCCGCCCCCCACCAGCCGTCACAGGACATACAAGAGGTCTTCCGGCCCTACATCATGCCACGCTTCAAGACACCACCGCCGCAGACGCGCCAGGGCCAGCCGCCCCCTCCCCCACCTCCCAAGGGCCCCGCCGCGGCCCTCGGCCGGTCGCTGAGCCGCGAGGACCTGGAGGCCACCCTCGCCCTTGTGACGGACATCATCACACGAGGCGTGGTGCCGTGGATGGAGCGCAAAGTGCGGCAGCTCGACACCCAGATCGGCACGGCGCGCAAGGGGCTGCGGAACCAGCTCAAGTATCTGTGGCGCAAGCCGCGAACGGGCCAGCAGGCGCAGGGCAACGAAGGGGTGGGCGAGATCATATCGGCCGTGGGGAGCGCTGTGGCGGGGGCGGTGGGTGGGGTGGATGGCGTCAGGGAGGAGGGAGGGCCGGAGCGGACAGGAAATGCCACGTATGAGGTAGGTGGGTTGGCACAACGGTAGACAGACAGACGGATGCACGCCAGCCCAGCCAATGCCACTGAGCAGACCAAGCAGGCCAAGAATCTGTGTGTGTGCACTCACTGCAGACACATACTGTGGAGAATCAGCTGCGGCTGTTGGGTGACCTGTGCTTCCTGTTGCGCGACTATGAGACGGCCCTGCTGCAGTACAAACAGTGCGCCGCTGACTTCAAGCACGACAAGAGCTGGAAGCACCTCGGTAGGGTAGGTTAGGTGGCCGGGCGGCCCCGCCCGGCCAGGCGACACACATGGAAGAGTCGTCGAGAATCGTTCTTGTGTGTGCAGGTGGTGCGTATGAGATGTGGGCTATTGCCAATTTCCTCACTGCGGCCCCGACGGCGCTCAACAAGCGGGAGATCGAGTCGTGCCTCGAGCACGCTTATAAGGCTTACCTCAGGGTAGGTCACCATACACACACACACAGACACCCACACCCACACCCCAGGAGACACAAGGGAGTGAGTGAGTCTGCAGTGTAAGTGCGTTTGGATCGACAGGCCGAGGCACCTCGTCAGGCCATTCGGAGTGTGTTGGTGGCGACACGCCTGGCCGTGTACCTCGATGGAGGCACCGAAGAGCCATCCAAGAGGCTCATGCAGGCAAGCTAAGCTAGCTAGACAACACACATGACAAGGGTGACAAGGGTGACAAGGGTGGCTCATCTCCATGCCATGTCGGTTGCTCCCTCCCTCCCATCGATTCATCGGGTCCATTCCACTGCAGGCCAACTCGGACATCCAGTCGATCTTTGGCGAGACAGCCGCCTCCATCCCCCTGCGGCACGCTTTGCTGCTGGAGCAGGCGGCCTACCTGTACGCCAGGCCGGAGCTGGGCTCACGCTACTGGCGGAAGCTGACATTCCACCTCATACTCGCCGGACACACCTATAACAAAGGGGGTAAGGAAGGCGGGCACAGGGAGAGATGGCCGGCCGCCCAGGTCTTGACCGCTGTGTGTGTGTGTGTCTGTGTCTGTGTCTGTGTGGGTAGGTTACAAGGCCCTGGCGCTGCGTTGTTACAGCGTTGTGAGCCGCACTTATTCGCGGAAGGGGTGGCTGCACATCAACGACCACGTGCACTTCACAATGGCCAGACAGGTCGGCACACACATAACACAACACACGGCACACCAGACGTGTCGACATCGATCGCTTTACTGCCGCATCTCTCTCTCTCTCTCTCTCTGATTCTTACATACAGTCGTTCTCTTTGGGTCTCATCCGCCGATCCCTGCAGCACTTCGCCACCGTCCTCAATTCCTTCTCGGCCACTCACGAAGCAGCCACCCCCGCCCCGCCAGCACTCGCCCTCCCGGACACCCGCAGGCTGCTGCCGGTGCTCGAGGACGGTCCCCCTCTCGCAGAGGGCATATCGCAGCGCCGTGTGGTGATCGAGTCGCGTGAGGAGACGTATCTGAAGGAGTTTCTGTATGTGGTTCGGACCTGGACGCTGAAGCATCACGGTGGGGGCCACAAGGGGAGGGGGGCCGAGGGGAGTGGGGTGGTGATGCCCATGCTGGATGTGAGGCTGCCTGTCGTACTCCAGAAGGACTCCAGGGGCATGTGCACCAACAGGTACGGCACGCACTCAGACAGGCAGGCAGGCAGGCATCACGCAGCCGACCCCGCCCACCCAGCACAGCACACACGCCCATGCCATGTGCTGTGCTATGCTATGCCTCACCTCACACAGCATCGGTGTTGTCCTTGAGGGAGACGAGCTGAGTCATCAGGACCATCTGGCCTCCCTGGCACCCCACACCCACACCCACACCCATCAGCAGCAGCCCTCCCCCTCCCCCTCCCCCCTCCCCCAGCCCACAGACGAGGCGACTCCCTTCGCCTTCATCGCAGAGGAGGTGGGCGTGCCCGTCTCGCCTGACGACCAAAAGGAGCTCGCCTGCCTGGAGGCAAGGCTGCCGATGCTCATGCCCCCTCCGCCCAAAGGCGGGCCGCCCGGCCCCCCGGGGCTCAACGAGGTGCTCAGCGGGACCGTGTATGAGACGCTGCAGCGGATCACTGCCGTGGGTGCGCCAGTGGTGGTGGAGGCGCGGCTGAGCAACCCCTTGCAAGTGGAGATGGAGTGCATCAACTTGCGGCTGTTTGGCCGCATGGAGGGGCCTGACGGGCAGCTCTCGCCGGGCGAGGGCGAGTCCGTGTCCGTGTCGGCCACGTCGGCCTCATCGACCACCGACGGCGTCCGCCGGCTCGACGGCGAGTCTGGCGATGGTATGGCTAGCCGTGAGGGTGAGGTGGACTTCCCCACGATGAGTTTGCGGCTGGAGGGCAAACAGACAGTGAGTGTGCGGCTGGCGGCCATACCGCAGAACGAGGGCGTCTTGAGGATAGAGGGCGTGGAGTGGGAGCTGTGGAGCCACCGTGCAGAGAGGGAAGAGGCGCCTGGGGGGCGGTTCCCCGTCCGCGTGAGGCAGAAGCTCCATCTTCATGGGCGGCCCAAGAGCAAGAAACGGTCAGCCTCCGCCCCGCCCCTGCCGTCCCCTCCCTCCTCTGCGTCCATCGACGAGTCGGGCGAGCCCCTTGTGACGATCGCGAAGTACCACCCTGACAAGAGACTGGAGCTGAGGGTGTCGGCCGACCTGCCGCGCGTGTCTTGCCATTTTGAGGGCTTCCCCACCTCTCCCCTGCTGGCAGGCGAGTGCCACCCTTGCACCCTCATCATCGAGAACAGGGGGGCGCGGAAGCTCAGCAAGGTCCGTGTGGCGGCGTCGCATCGTGACTTCATCTTCTTCCCCCCTCCCCCGGTGCCCCGCACCCCTCCCGCCTCCTCGCCATCGTCTGTCCGCCAGCCCCCCCGACCCGAGTCAGTCCCACAGCTGCTCAACATCCCCCCTCCACGCCCATCTGTCCGGCTCTCGCGGTCGATGGCCTCCCAGGCGTCAGGCAGCCGGCGATCGAGTCTGCCGCCCGTCACAGAGGGGTGGGCGTCCCATGTGGCCGTCAGCGATGAGTCCATCAGCAGTGGGGGCACCTTCGCCATTCCCTGTCTGGTGCGTGGCTCGGCTGCCGGCGTCCACCGTCTCCGGATATGTGTGTGCGCCGAGGGGGAGCAGCTGCAGCAGGCTGTTGTGGCTGGCGAGGGTGAGGGGGCGGAGGGGGAGGGAAAGGGCAGCGACCAGATGTCGGTGCTGAGCACTGAGGGGTCTGCCTTGCCATCCTCCCCCTCTCCCTCCCCGTCGGCAGAGGCCAGTCCCAGGCCGCAGGTTGGTGGGGCTGATGTGATGCGCAAATGGATCGTTCTCGAGAAGGTGCTCGAGGTCAGGCCGTCCATCGTCGTCAGCGTCCAACAAGTAAGTAACACACATCACATGCCATGCATCCCACACGCAGGGCATACACAGCACAGCACCACTTTTTCCCTGCTCTGTGTGTGTGTGTTCAGCACGCGTCTTGGCGCAAGCCTGGCCGTTTTGTGCTCGAGTGCAACATCGAGAACGCCAGTTCCCACGTGATAGCGGTGCAGAAGGTGCAGGCCCTCATCCCCCAGCCAGGCCTGCCGCAGGGCGACGCAGCCACGGCCCCCCTCCCCGGCCACGACACCCCCATCCCCTACCAGCCTGTCATCCTCGAGCCATGCATCCCCGTTGAGCAGAGGAGCCTCCACATCTTCCCCTCCCAGGCCACACACCTCCTTTACGCCTACCACCCCCCCACAGCAACACACACACATACCGATGCCCACCATCACCACGGCAAGGCGGCCAGGAGGTGGCAGGGCGAGACGGGCGAATCGTCATCATCCGATGAGGAAGCAGCGTCGGACAACGGGATGCGGATCGTCCCCTACTCGGCCCCCTCGTCGCCTGAGCACCGGCCGAGGGCGCCAGGGGACGACTCACAGGTTGCCGTGCGGCAGGTGCGCCTGAAGGCCCCTCCCTATGACGCGTGGCAGGAGCAAATCGTCAAGGTGGCGCGGCGTGCGAATCTCGAGAGGAAGTGGGGCCGCGGCAGCAGGAGGCGGCAGAGGGGCGGCCGCAGCAGGTCTCCCGAGGGGATGCGGGTGGGGCCGGGAAGGAGGGCCAGGGGAAAGAGCCCTGGTCCCAATGGGGAGCCCTCTGTGCATGGGTGAGGGAGGGAGGGAGGCAGGAAGGAAGGGTACACTACACAGCAAAGGTGGACACAGGGTGGGTGGAAGTCGGCGTGTGTCTGTGGTGTGGTGTGGTGTGGTGTGTGAATGTGTGGTGCAGTGGTCAGCACATGGACATTATCGTCGAGTGGCGGGCGACCGAGACGGAGCGAAGAGGCGACACCTTCCTATTCCACGTGAACGCTCTCACTGACACACTGATTGATTGATTTGCCGCAAACAAACGTTTATCACTCATGCGCACCTCCTCCCTCCCTCCCTCCCTCCCTCTGGCCTGGCAATGTCGGTCGGTCGGTCGGTTGTGTGTGTGATGCATCGATATCTATGATCAGGTCCCTCTGTATGTGCCAGCTGAAGGCTGTCCTCTCAAGTTCCAGATCTGCCCCACCCAGACAGTGCTGCCCTTCTGCCCCTCCCCGCCACCTCCCCCGCCCACCACACCTTTCGCACCCCCTCAGTCGCCCGTCCCCGCCACCTTGTTGCCCGTCCATCTCTACATCCAGAACGTCTCCCCCGACCACTCAGTGACCTTCCAGCTCGAGGCCGACGAGCCGGCAGCGGCGTACGTCACGCCTCTGCACATGAGCCCTCAGCTCAACATGCGGTGGACGAGCGAGATGCCCTTCTTCAGCCAGCCGCAGGCCCTCCTGCCCTCCTACATGCGGCAGCCGCCCGCCGGGCCCTTCTGGGAGGGCGGGGCGGTCACGCGGCGAGTGGACAATCTCCCTCCCGGGCACACCGTCGACTACGGCCTGGTGGCCCGCTTCTCGCGGCCTGGCGTGTACAACCTCAACAAGTTTCGCTTTGTGGTCCACGAGGTGCGTTCGGTGGCCGCTGCTGCTGTGGCTGTGGCTGCGGGTGGGGGCGATGTGGCTATGACGGGCGGTGAGGGCAAGGCGTTTGCCTTTCCGTTTGAGTCGCTGGTGTGGGTGTACAGTGAGAGTGAGAGGGAGGCGGGGGAGGAGGCCGCCATGCGGACACAGGAACCGCCACCAGAGCGGACCTCGTGAATGAGCGAATGAACACTCATTAGCGCCGTGATGCCAGTGAGTGAGTGACAGAGACAGACACGAGAGAAATTTGTGGGTATCTATCCGAGAGTCTGTCTGTGGTTGGTTCCTCACGAGAGGTGTCTGACGGCCTGAGTTGAGGTGGCAATTGTGAGATTGGGCATGGATGGCCATATCCTGTGTGCGCTGTGTGTGGTCCGGGTGCTCCATTCGGCCTGATCTGACCAGATGGCCGTGCATAGCATAGCGTGAGATGAGATGAAATGAATGACTGCATCACATCAACCATACGCGTGTATGATCTTGATCCATCAGGGTTGACCGTAGCATAGCCCCTGTCTGTCTCTGTCCATGAGGCCACCATCATCACCAGGGTCACAGGCAGGATGACTCGGCACACACCTATGAAGCTGACCATGATGCTGCCAAAATGGACACAGCGGCATGGCATGAGCGGCCAACAGCGTCGGTAGACTGAGTCGCTTGTCCGACCAAACCCCCCTCACATGCACCCGCCCCCCGTCACATTGAGGCAGTCTGGAAGCACTCTGCATCTAGCTGCATGCATACCATCCCGCAACCACGCAACGCATACACACAGACCTCTCAACACGTAGGTCAAGAATCCAACACACAGCACCCAGCACAGAGAACAGAAAAACAGGCAGGCGATGGCGCCTGACTAGCTAGTCGAATCGCCCAGTTTGGTAGGAGCATCGCTCTCGCACTCCCTCCCTCCCTGCCGGCAGTCTCTCTACCATCTCCTCAGCAGATTGGTGAGCGCCTTGGCGCCGTCCAGGACATTGCCCCTCTTCATCTCGCCGTCATCCGTCTCCTCACCTGACACACACACACACTCTTTCTGCAGCTGGTGAGTGAGGAGGTCTGCACGGGTCACTCACCATTGATGAGCACGTAGAAGGCTCGCCAGCTGGAGAGCACCACTGCGGTCGCCACGAGAGAGATGACCACAAACACACCGGGGGGCTGCTCGCCTGATAGCCAGACGGACAGACAGACAGACAGACAGAGTACTAGCGACAGTCAGCGGCCACGTACACTTGACTTACCTCTGTATACGGCTCTCAGTGCGAGCCCCATGGATGCCGACACTGCCCACGCTGGAATCAACACCTGAGGGCAGGGATGGCATGCGCCAGTGTCGGCTGCGTCTTCGTTCACCTCACTCACCTGTGCCATCTTCTTGTAGTTTGCTGTGGCGTCATGTGTGTAGGCGCCCAGCAGAGGTGATATGCCGAACCAAGCTGAAAGGAGCATAGCATGGGAACCACCCACCCTCGTGTGTGTGGGTGTCTGTCTGTCTGTCTGTCTGTCGGAATGTGCTGGTGGTCTGGCTCACCGATGAGGAAGGGTGCCGCCGTTTGCCAGACCCCTGGAGAGAGAATCGTCTCCTGCTGAGCGCCGTGGTTGGCCCTACCAGCCAAAGCAAACGCCAACAGCGCCACGGCATCACCTACACACACCACACCACACCACACCGCAGTACTGACTCAGCCAACCAGATTCCCCCCGCTGGCTTCGCTTCGCTTGGCTTGGCTCACCCGATGCGAGAAGCCATCTATCGGGGATGTCCATCCAGTTGCTTTTGCCCACCCGCCGCACCTCGAGGCCAGCCTGGCCCGTCCACTGCGTCCGCTCAATGTCACGCTCGTCAACCACATCCCAGCCCGCCTCACGGGCATACTTATCGGCTTCGCGCTGGATCTGCTGCACTCGCTCCTTGGCAGGCAGGCTGCTCAGAGGGGATGATGAACTGTCACTGCTGTGCTGCTGCTCTGTGGTCATGGGCGCAGGCGACGGGGGAGCTGCCGGTGGGCTTGGTTCTTCCGGGCTAGTCGGGGCGTTCATTCGTAAGACGGTGGGGTGCAGAAGCGATGGACGATGACTCTGCAGCAGAGAGGGAGCAACCAAAGGTGAATGCAGGCAGGCACACCACGGTTCGGATCTGGCTGGCTCACGCGTGACAGTCTGATGGGATGTAGAGTCTGCGTGAAGGCAAGAGAGGGCCGCTCTCCGCTTGCAGCAACTGCATTGGCAGACATCAGCGTTGCGATCAAGGATATCATTCTGCCCCTTTCCTGTCAGAGAGCGGTTTCACGGAGTGTCAGCATTCTTGAGCTCGCATGAAGACAAGACGCCGCCTTTCCCTTCTCTCGCAGTGTGTTTGGTGCTGAAGGCTGCTGACATACACAGAAGTCGCGCGCGAGAACAGCTGTCTGTCGTTCCATAGATGCCGAAGGTGAGCAACCGAACCGTCAGCCACACACACACACACACACACGGAGGATGCGCAGGTCACTGTCTGTCTGTCTGTGTGTCTTGGCACTTAATTACAGGTCCGCACTTTGAATAGCAAGAAGGCTCCCGAGGGGTGGGAGTTGGTGGAGCCGTTCTTCGAGGAGATTAACCGCAAGATGCGCGAGGCCGAGAACGAGCCGCACGAGGGCAAGCGGAAGGCCGAGTCCCTCTGGCCCATCATGAAGCTGCACCACCAGCGGTCGCGGTACCTCTACGACCTCTACTACAAGCGGAAGGAGATCAGCAGGGATCTCTACGAGTACTGCCTCATCGAGGGGTACGGCGACGCCAACCTTATCGCCAAGTGGAAGAAGCCGGGCTACGAGAAGCTCTGCTGCCTCAGGTGCATCCAGACCACCGGACAGAACTTTGGGACGACCTGCATCTGCAGAGTGCCCAGGAGCGCACTCGAAGAGGGCAAGGTAAGGGAGCTCAGCTCACGGAGGAGAGCGTGTGGGGTGGGATAACGCCTGACGTCGTGTGATGTCCTGTGTGTTGTGTCAGGTTGTGGAATGCCAGCACTGCGGCTGCCGCGGGTGCGCGAGTGGAGACTAGGTGGTAGGTACCCGGGTGGTCTAGTGTGCCGTGCCGTCTTCCTCTCCTCTCCGCTCCGCTCCTGGCTGGTGTAGATGACCCCCTCTCTCTGTCGTGTCCTTTCCTTCCCTTTTGCGCGTGGTGCCCTCTCTCCTCCGGCCCGGCCTTCCCCTAATGATATGGACATATCATATTGTGCAGCTCTGTCCATCGACTGCCTGACTGTCTTTAACTGCATATATATGTTGATTGATGCTGGTGGTGACCTTATTATTTTTGCCGCCTGACGTGACGGACGTGGTTGGCTGGCTGTTCGAGTCTGTCAGCGGTCGGTTCGTCGACTTCCATCAGCCCGTTGGCGGGAGCGATTGTGACATCGCTTGCACCAGTGGTCGCTGGCAGGTCGGATGAACTGGCTCATGATCAGACGCGGGCAACTGAGAAAGGTCGATCGGGTGGAAGGGCCGACCCACGTGCATCATGTGGTATGTACGTTGCCGAACAGACGGTGAATGCGGTGAGTGCACTGACTGCATGTCAGTCACGTTTCTTCCGTATCATGATGATCCACACACACTGACAATTCTATAGAGACTTTCCGTATGCTACGTGTCTGTCTCCCTAACGTCAGTCACGTCATCACACGCGTGGCCACCGGTGACCCAGCCCTCACGCCACAATTCATGCAGTGCAGTCAATGGAAACTCATCTCTGAAAACACCTGTCCGTCCGTCCCCCCGCCCGTCCGTCAGCCACTCTCTCCTCCCTCCCTCTCCTCTCTCTGAAACCGCCGTATCGTCTCACCAATCCCTTCCAGAAGACCGGCACCACCAGAGAGCGGCGGAGGTGTCGGCGGCTTCCAATCCGTGTGGTCCAGGAAGTTGGCACGCAGCAACGTGTTGGGAGCCAACAGGATCGGCACCAGGAAATTCCGCAACGCGCAGATGGGTTCGAGGGCGATCTGCAGCGCCACCCCGTAAACCCAGGCCTTCATCGACAGGAAGGCAATCCGCCCCAGCCGGTTCCTCTCAAAGCGCCGCAGCGCGCGGTCGATGTCGGCCTCGTCGTCGATCCTCGGCTCGAAAGGCTGCGGCTGTCGGGGTGGGGGGAAGTCGATGGGGCCGATGTTCATGCCGATGGAGGCTATGCGACCCGCCGAGGGCGACGAGGGGGAGGATGTCTGAGTGGCCGGCGGGCGTCGACCCAGAATGGGCGTGAGCACTGAGCAAAGCTCCACTGCATCCTCGATAGCCGCAGCACCACCCTAAGACACATACATAGACAACAGAGAGAGATGCGCAAGGACAGACAGACGTGTGTGGTTGGGGGAGGGAGGCTCCGTGCGTGTGTGAGTGAGTGAGTGAGCGAGTGAGTGAGTGAGCCGGCCTACCTGTCCCAGGTTGGGTGTCATGGGATGTGCACTGTCTCCAATGAGAGTGACTCTCCCCTTGCCCCATGGCCTGAAAGACGGAAACCGGTGGCGGATGTCAGACAGGACGATGTCCTCCGCCGGGGTGGCCTGCACCAACTGGATGATGGGATGGACAAACCATCCACACACAGACGCCAGCCAGAGAAGATGATGCCAGCCGCCTGGTGGGTGTGTTGGTATGTACCTACCTGGTAGACTTGGTGTCCCCATCCCTCGACCAGTCTGGCGGCATATGCCTTGCGCCCCGTGGCGTTGACGGAAATGGCCGGCACGTCGCCCGCCAGAGCATTGAAACACACAAACCAGTACACACGGTCCTCACTTATCTGCGCCGAACCGAACCGAACCCCCTCACCGAACACCTGGGTTTGGTTTGACACACATGCGGGGGGGTGGGTCACCGGGGTGGTGTCTTGTCTCGCCTCACTCACTCACTCAGTCACTCTCTCTCACCTGTCCGACGACTCCTTCCTTGAGCAGCACTGATTTGCCGCGTCCGAGTGATGGCTCCCACGGCATGCCGCCCATCGACAGGGGAAAAGTCGGCCGAAGCCGAGCCACCCCACGAAACGCCTTGTACCCAGCATACCTGCACACAAGTGCCAACGAAGGTATGAGGACACATTGGTGGCGATCACACACGTGAGAACCGTGTCGTCTCCCACCTCGGTGGCGGCTCTCTGGGTGCGATGGAGGCCCTGACGGATGATCTGATGCCGTCGGCTCCCACCACAACCCGCGCCCTTATCTGCCGTCCGTCCTTGAGAGTGACCAGCACGGGTCGTGAGCCGGTGCCCTCGAGGACCTCCTCCACCTCAGCCGAGTAGAAGATGCGGTCACGCGGCACACCCGACAGCAGCTCACGCAGCAGCTGCCCTCGCAACACCTGAACAACAAAACGATTCATTTCAAAGACACACCTGAGCTGTGTGTGAGATGGATGGATGTATGGATGTACCTGTCTGAACTCATGCGGCCCGTTTGCGCACTCATCGACGTTAAAGTCGACGAGCACGCCGCCCTCCTTCGAGGCCAGGCAGACCTCCTTGTTGAGCACATAGCCCGCCCGCATGGCGTTGTCCACCCGCAGGTAAGACAGGGCGCGCCACGCCTGCGTCCACAGACCTATCGCCGTACCACTGCCTCAGACAGACAGACAGACAGACAGATGGGAAGACATGACATGCAACGACGGTTCTTTCCTTCACCCCACCCAGGTACCCTTCCCTCAGTCGCGGAGAGGCTTCGACGAGACAGCAGTCGACCCCCGCTTGCGTCAGGCCCCTCATCAATGCAGCGCCGCTCAACCTGACCACACACACACACACCACACGCACACAGCGCGTCACGACGAAGTCATGTCAGTCAGTCTGTCTGATCTCACTCACCCGCTGCCCACAACGAGCACGTCCACAGACGAAGGGAGCGACGCGACCAGCGGGTTTGGGGGCGGGGGCAGCTCGTCCGGCACAATCGACGCAATCCTCTCACCCACCCCCTTGGCCCGCGCCCGCGCCCCACCGAGGATCCTCTTTAGCCGCTCCCTGTTGTCCTTCACGCCCTGCTGGAAGCTCTTGCCGATGGCCGACAGCCGCTCGCGAAGACCGGTGGGCAGCCGAGCGGCGGGCAAGACGATGGGCGGGGGAGACGCGTAGCTCGGCGGCCAGGCCTGCAGGAAGGTCACACAACCACAACCACAACCACACACACACACACACGAAGGAATTAGTGATCAAGGTAATAGGTACTTGCACACAGAACAGGTGTGGTATGTGTGCGCGCGTGTGGTGGGTGGTGTGTGGTGGGTGGTGGTGTGGGGTATGTGTGTGGGAGCATTCAGGGGGGCAGGGCCGCATTGCTGGTAGCTGGCTGGCTGCTTGGCTGGCTGGCTGGCCGCTTGGCTGATTGCGGGAGGAAGGCCGGAGCACCCTCCACGATTCACTAACAGCATTATCACTCACTCATTGACAGCCACAGACAGGCGTGCACACCAATACGAGTCAGTCAGTCAGTGAGGAAGAGAGGCATTCGGGGCCTTCTTCATGGCTAAGAGACAAATATCGTCTAAACCGCGCAGGCCCACACAGAGACACACACCTACAATCGCCTCCTGCCTCATCCGGCACGGCACACACACCCAGACAGCGATACATACACCTCCACTCCATCCATCCATCCGTAGGGACCAGATGGCTGACCTCGGGAAACAACCAAACACACTCATTCCTCCCTCCCTCGCACCCTGCCCCTTTCTGTCATTCAAACTGTCACCACGACTGGGGTTTGTGAGCCGCCTGACAAACGATAAAGCCGAAAAAGGGCCGTGTGTGGATGGAGGGGCGTGGAAGGCAGAGGGGGGGGGGAGGGGCACTTCTGCCCGCCCTTGTGATGACTGACTGCATCCTACATAGCTACGGCAGAGAGAGAGAGAGAGAGAGAGACAAAACAGCTGGAGGGAGTTAAGGGCCCTACGGCTCTCAATCGCTCGCTCGTGGGGGTCGGACAGACGAGAAGGACGGACACTCTAGAATGGCTATCTCTCACTCATTGTGTGGCAATAAGATATACAGAGGACATCTGTGCTCACCGCCTCTCACACCCCTCCCCTCCTCGACCCCCTGCTGTGATGTAATGACGAAAACCTAGGGAAGCCCTCCCTCCACACACCTCACTCATCACTCACATGACCAATCTGTCGACCGACCGACCGGAGTGAGTGAGTCGACCGAGAAAACCCGCCCACCCACCACCCCACCGAGCGTCACACCACACCATACAAACAGCAGCCCCCCTCCTCTCTATACAACACCCAGCAAAGCACCACCACACCGCAGTTCGTCAGACAGTCCGCCCACGCATCCCATTCCCCCTCCTGCCCCGCCCCGCCCTCAATGCATTCATTGATCATGTAAAGCTAAAATCCAGCGAATGCACCCCGCTCCTCCTTCTCTCCCCCCTGTAGCCTGGTGGCATCCTGCTCTGCTTGGGTGACGATCCAGGGAGCGTCACCCCCGCCCGAATGCCGCCCGACCCCGGTGGCAGCTTGGCTCGACACAGCTCGGCCAGCTGCTGCAGCCGCCGTCTGTTGTCGGGGATGTCCTCGAAGTATCTGGCGGCGAACCGCTTCATTTGGTCCAGTTTGCCGGGGTCGGTCTCATCGATGGCCCACATCTCGATCTTGGGGTTGAATCGGAAGTACTTGTCCTCGGGCAGGAACTCGGACAGCATCTCGTGCGTGCCCTCCGTGTTGGTCGCCGAGCACACCAGCTGGTTGACGATGCCGTCCCATCCCACTCGCCCGCCGTAGCTCTGCTGTGGGAAGCGACCCGTGCCAACCGACACAATCGCCTCGATCGGCGTATCGGGGAAAAGCGCCTTCGCCTCGGCGAGAGCAATGGCCGTCGGGTTGTTGGCCAGGAGCGCCCCATCGCCGTATGCCTCCCCGTCCAGACGCAGTGCGGGGAAGAATGTGGGCGCGGCAGTGGTGGCTCTGAGTGCGTCGCGGCACCGGATGCGGAAGGAGCCGGCGTATTTGCCTTGCCGGCCATTGGGGGGGTAGTTGTAGTTGCGCCAGAGGATGAGCGACGAGGGGTTGGCCGACACCATGGTGGAGAGGCAGAAGGTCTTGGGCACATCGGGGTCAGCGGCAGTGTCGATCATCCGAATGTCCCCGAGGGTGTTCTCGAGGATGAGCTCCCACGCCGTCTCGTCGTAGTAGGCCTGCTTGACCACCAGGCGCGCGCCCGAGATGGGGCCGGGGTCTTTGACGAATATATCTTTGATGAGGTTGTCATAGAGCACCTCCACCTCGTTGACGCTTGACTTTTGCACGCCCAGCAGCATGGCAATGATGCCGCCCGTCGAGGTGCCGCAAATGATGTCAAACACCTCGTGCACCTCCCGGCCCATGACGGCCACGATGAACTTGAGAATGGCGATCGTCAGGACGCCCCGGGTGCCTCCTCCGTCAAGGCACAGGATGCGCAGGCCCCTCTGCCCGGGCACCCGCGGGTGCCAATCGTTGTTGCATCCCATCGCCGCCAGCAGCTTGTTGGCCGTCCGGATCCTCTCCAGGTCTCGCTGCAGCGGCTTGTCGTCCTTGCCCTGCCACTTGGCCCACCTCGACTTGACCACCCCTGCCGACGGGTTCGTCCCCCCCGCCTGCACAAGGATCCGTCTGAGCAGCGGGGCCACGCGGGAGTCCGTCTGCAGCGCCCAGATAACCCTGTCGCTGCTCAGGGCCATCGTGCACAGGAGGTGCAGCGCCGCCCTCTGGGCCTGCAGTGCATGCGCACGGTGCCGCTCGTTGGCCAGGATAGACCGAGGCCCACGCCACTCGGGCTCCTCCAGCACCTTGAGAATCGGCCCCAGCTCGCCCTTGCGCACAATGACGTCGGCCGTGGAGGGGTCCGTCTCGGTGATAAGGGTGAGCGTGCGGAGGGCCTTGGCTTGCAGCTGCGGCTTGCCTTTGCGTAGTGCCTTGAACAGGGCCCCCAGGCCGTACTCCCGTATGTGATCCATCTGGTCGGGCGCCACCACCTTGGCCACCAGCTCCACGCCAGGCGACGGCGGGGTCTGCTTGGGCGCGACGCTGTCCTCCCTCTTCTCCGCCGAGCTCTCCAATGCCGCCATCCAGATCTTCCGTGACGTCTCGGGATCGCTGTCGTTGGTCCTCCCCGCCGCCCTTGCCGCTGTACCCTCCTCGGTTTCTTCGTCAAGGGAGAGTATGGGTGCGGTGCCGCTGGCGTGGTTGTCGGAGATGAAGAGACTGAGGAGGCTCCACCCGCCGCCCTCCTGCGTGGTGTCGATCTCCAGGTCCTCCGGCACCTCAGGGATGGGGTGCACGCGGCCGTCGTGGGCGGCGGCGAGGCTCACCTCCAGCGCCTGCCGACCGCCTTTGGAGTAGTAAGGCACCCAGATGACGCCGCCCGGCGACTTGTCGCTCCTCCCGCGGTAAGACGACCCCAGCCGCCCCGACCGCGGCGCCACCACATTCTGCCACAGCCGCTTGGCAGACCGCTGGATGCCACGAGTCCCAATGAACTTGAACTTGGGTGCAGGGCGGCTGAGGAAGCCCCGCCAGCCCTTGGGACGCTCCTCCTTGGCTGCCTCTGGGTCGACCTTGGCGTAGCCCAGCTCCTCCAGGATCTGCCGGGCTACGTTGAGCTTCTTGCTCGGCAGCGGAGGGAGGGGTGGGGCGGTTGTGAGGGACAAAGGTGGAGAGGGGGTGGAGGGGTCGGGCACCTTCTTGCTCGCCGGCTTTGGGACAGTTGCTGGTGGGGGAGGGGGCGGGGCGAAGGCCAGGGGCCGGCGGGAGTCAGCGGCTGGTGTGGTGGTGGCATTGGCATGTGACACGTTGGCTGCCTGCTGTGGCGGCTCCTCTTTGCGCCCCCATGCGAAGATGAAGAACCCCCCAGTGGCGTTGTCTTGCCGCTGTGTCTCGTTCCGCCTCCTCTCCATCTCCTCTCTCTCCCTCTCCTGCTGGCCTATGATCTCCTTCAGCCGCTCGGCCTCCCTCTCGGCCAACACACCCTCCTCAGCCAACACGAACTTCTGCAGAATGTCGACCGCTCTCGCGTCGCCTCGCACGAGGCGCGCCGCCTTCTTGCTGGAGATGACCATCGTCAGCAGCAGCTCAAGGGCAGCACCCTGGGCCCGCTGCAGATAGTCGCGGTCCGATTCCCTGAACCACAGCCGCTGCCACAGTCGTCCCTGCATGGGCTGCTCCACCAGGCGTATAAGGTCGGCGGTGATGTTGCGCGCCAGGATGACGTCGGTGGTGCTGGGCTCCACCTTGGCAATGGAGCAGAGCGACCTGGCTGCACGCGCCTGAAGGGCGGGGGAGCCGCTGAGTGCCTTGAAGAGCAGCGAGAGCCCCGACTCCTTGATGTAGGGCATCTCGGGCGATTTGAGGGCCAGCACGCCCCCGCTCTCCGTGGGCTCGCCCTCGCCCTCCTCCTCTTCCTCCTCGACGACAGCCTCATGCTCCCCCTCCCTCGGAGGGGAGGGCGTCTTGACCGGCATTTCCTTCTTTCTCTCCACCTTCTTGTCCAACACCGGTGCGCCAGGCGGGGCGTGGTCGTCGCCAGTGAGCTCGCGCGCCCTCTGCCGAATGGCCTCGGTCACCGTGTCATTGGGCGTGACGGTGCGGTTTGTCCGCGTGACGTCGGCCTTGTCCTCCTCTATTGTCACAGTGGTCATGGCTGCGGCTGCCGTGGCCGTGAGGGGCCCCGTGGTGAGGTTGGTGTCGCTGCCGGGGAAGTGGTCGGGGTAAAGGGTTTCCATCTGCTCCACATTGACGCGCTCCTCCATCCTCTCCTCCCTTGTGCGCCGCGGCTCGCTCGCCGGTCGCCGCCTCCGGCCGAACCATGACGAGAGGAAGCCAACGGGCGATGGGCGTTGCCTGGGGGGACTGGGGGCAACTCGGTCGGCGAGGGATGAGAGGGAGAGGGTCGACTGGCTGGAGAGCTCGTCAGCGCCCGGTATTGAGAGGTCTTCAGGCTTGAGCTCCTGCACCGGCAGCTTCTTGCCCTTGGCCCTGTTCTTGCTCCCCTTGTCACCGGCAGCCCTCCTCTCGTCTTTGGCGGCTCCACTCGCCCCTGTCGCCCCTTGCCCACCGACAGCCGGTGCCTCGCGTGATGCGTTTGCGCTCTTGCCGACGAAGAATGGCACCCAGACGACGCCACCAGTGGAGCTCTTCTGCTCCTCCCGGAAGCCCACCACCTCCTCGTCTATGTCTGGGTCGGACTCGTTGCGTGGCGGGCGGCCGCTGGGGCCGCCGCC